TCAGTCTTATTCACAATGACGTTCACTTTTTTCCCTATTGTTTTTAAGTCATGTTTATCTAACACCTTCTTTTCCTTCAAGTCCTCCAAGAAGCCACCAAACATGGTGCTGGCAATCATCTTTATCTCATTGACTGGATCTTGTGGTGATCTCTTCTCTGTGAGAACAATAGGATTTTAGGAATTGATAGGACTTTAGATCTCTGAATCTAGGCCTATGGTTCTCAAATTTAACAAGGGAGAGTATCTGAGAGCTTGGTAAGCAGAGCTTCCTGAACCCCATTCCTAGAAATCTGATTTGATAGGTCAGAGTAGAGTGCATTATTTTTATTTCTAATTATGCTTTTGTTGACTCTACCTCCAAAAGAGGTCCAGATGTTACCACTTGTCATCCTCTCCATTGGTATAACCCCAGCCTAAAAGCTATTATCTCTTAACTGAAATATTTGAATACCTTTGGCCTTTCTGATGCTATGCTTCTTTATCACTCCTCCATTTAAATACTTCTAAAGGCTTTCTATTGCAAATAAAATCCAATTCTTTCTCACTTTCAAAAAGGCCCAGAGTAGTATGGTAGCTTCAGCCTGAGTCCATAACAGCTCTTCCTACCATGTACCCTAATTTGCTACTCTCCCATCAGATTGGCTTTTTGACATGACACGTCCATTTCTGCTCAGCACCTTTGGGCTTGCCTCCCTTCCATGGCATGCTTTTGCTTTAGATTGTGGCACAAACCCCTCTCTGTAGTTCAAGTATGCACTGAACATCACCTCAAATGAATTCTCATAATTGTTCACCCTGGCCCACGTGCCTCGCCTCTTTTCTCTTGTCCATTTCCTGACTGGTACTACTTTTTTTTTCATGTTTACTGTCTATGTACCTTCACTACACTGTCAACCCCATGAAAGCAGGACCTTGATTTATCTTGCTTACTGCTATAAACAGTGATTAGAAGAATAGACAGTAGTTTCAGTTAATGTGTGTGTGTATGTGTGTATACATCTATATATGTATATATATACAGCAAATAAAAATTAAAACGTTTTTATGCCTTTGTAAACTTGTCCAGAACTTCTGAAAATATGGTACTCACAACACAATACAACACTACCCCTTTCTACACACTGCGATTCTTTGATGTGGTTCAGTAACTCCTCAGTTTCTTTAGTGATCACACAGTATGTGTAACTAGTCCTGTTGTGTGCTTTTTAACATGCTTTTCTCATCCTTGCTCTGATTATGCGGTTGTTACTTGCTTATCTGTTTGGTGTTCTATGAATCTTTTAAAGATGTTATTAATATCATTGAAAACTATGAGTCCCAGAAATGCTGGGTTATTTACACCAGAGAACATGGTTAGTCAGTGGCCGTGTTGGGCTCAGTGTACAGATTGCTTGCGTTTTATTCCAGTTCTCTTTCTACTACAGTGTACGGCCTCTCCATCTTAGCTCACAGAATGTCACCAAGCATCCGTGACACTGCCTGTCATAGGCAGAAGCCACGTGTGCAGCCTCCAGCCTTCTCCCTAATTTCATGATCTTCACTTTCACTTCCAGATTCTTAGAAGATGGAAGAGCAGGGGGTTAAATGCTGACCTTCCTTTGACACGGGTAGGCAGAGAAGGAAGAAATCACTTGGAATTTCTGAACCCGTCTCTTGCCTCTCCACTGTAACTTAGGGCCCCTATCACTTAGGGCCTTACGCTGAGTGAGGTCTGAGGGTTTGTGTGAGCCACTGGTTTGGTGGCACCTGCTAGAGGGAGAGCCAATGCCTGGGATGACTCAGCGTTTTCTTCTTCCCCACTTCCTTCAGGATTATTTCAGATTCTGAGGTGGAATGAACAAAAAGTTAAGGATCAATGTTCTACGCTGAAGATTATTTCCAGAGATGGAAACTGACTAAAAACAGTTTCCTAGGTCTTCACTGCAGTGCCTTCTGACAGCCCTAGTGGTCTGAGAGTGTTCATTTGTGATGTGAGATTTGAACGCACTTACCTGTCAGAGAAGATGACTTGCTGCTCTCAGATTCATCATCTTCATTTTCAGCATGAGATTCTGAAAGAATAGGAAAAGAAGATTTGTTAGCAGAACTAGGTTTCTAGAACCTACACGCCAGAAACTCCTTCCCTTGCACTCACAAGAAAGTGATGATGTTCGGCATGGGGTAACTATGAAGCATGGACATTTGGCTCATTTTCTAAGCTCCAGGTTTGTCTTACAGGACTGTGACTGTGCCATGTGAAGGAAGAGGCAGAGTTTCCATGATACAATGAAGAGCTCCTTATGTTCCTGCTTATATAATTCAAGGAATAATCAAATTCTTTAATCAAGGCTTTTCTGCAATAGCATTTCTCATTGTGAGGAGAGAATGTACACAGCTCTATAATGTTTGGTAGTCTTTCAGCAACCACAAAATGATCCCAGAAGGATGTTCCAAGTATTGGGAATACACTCATGTATATATTGTACTCTAGAGCGGGGGTCAGGAAACTCTGGCCCATAGGCCAAGGTCAGTTCAACAGCAGTTTTTTGGTCAATAAAGCTTTATTGGGACACATCCACAGTCATTTTGTACTGATTATCTATTGCTAACTTTATGCCACAGCATCAGATTTGAGTCACTGTGACAGAGAAAGTTTGGTCCAAAAAACTTAAAATATTGACTCTCTTGACCCTTCAAAGAGAGAGTGTGCCGACCCATGCTTCAGAGAGAAAGACACACTTATGTTCCACCAATGTTCCCCAGATTCCCTAGGTACTCCTTTAACAAAGACAGTGTAGGTTCTCAGAGATTTATCCCTTGAGCCAAGCCACAGCTAAGTAGGAGACAGTGGATTTTTTTTTTTCTATTGAACATTTTACATGTGGGAATAACTCTGGAGTCCACAGACTATGGCCAGAGTAGCACAGATTAGCTAAAGACTGTCCCTGAATTTACTAGAGCTCCAGCAACATTTATGCATTTCACAAGTATTTACTGAGCACTTATTATGTGTTAGATGCCATTTCCATAGTTGGGGCTCTCTTCATGAACAAAGCAGACAAAGCTCCATGCTTCATGGAATTTACATTTTAGCAGAGGGAGATACAATACAGCAAATAAGAAATGTTAAAGGATGATGGAAGGTGACAGTTGCTGAGGGAAGAACAAGATGTGTAGGAGTACAAAGTGATTTTGGATGCTGCCACATGGACTGGGGGGGCCCGGGGCCTTTTGCCATCTTATATAAGTTCGTCAGGCAAAGAAAGTACTAAAGATGTGGATAGTTTGTTCTCCCCTTGCAAATAGAAATAAGAAGACAGAGATTGCATAAGAGAGCAGATAAAGAGTAAGTTAGTAGACCTTTGGCCCAAGATACTCACTTAAACTCAGCAGGCTCGAATTGATGAAATGGTCCATAAATACTTGACCTACCACTTGAGTTTTCTCCGTGAGATCATCAACCAGGTTTTCAGTCTTATTCACAATGACGTTCACTTTTTTCCCTATTGTTTTTAAGTCATGTTTATCTAACACCTTCTTTTCCTTCAAGTCCTCCAAGAAGCCACCAAACATGGTGCTGGCAATCATCTTTATCTCATTGACTGGATCTTGTGGTGATCTCTTCTCTGTGAGAACAATAGGATTTTAGGAATTGATAGGACTTTAGATCTCTGAATCTAGGCCCATGGTTCTCAAATTTAACAAGGGAGAGTATCTGAGAGCTTGGTAAGCAGAGCTTCCTGAACCCCATTCCCAGAAATCTGATTTGATAGGTCAGGGTAGAGTGCATGAGTCTTTAGTTCTACCAATGTCTCAGGTGATATCAAAACTACTATTCTGAGGACCACATGCAGAGTACCACCAATCTTCCCCAATCCTATGCTTTTTTACTGGTGGAGAAAGTGAGCCTCCAGGAAGGAAGCAAGTTCATTAAGTAGCTTAGTGATGGCTGCCTCATTTCAGCTTGGTATCATCTGTGATCCCTTCACTTCCTGTCACTTTTCTCAATACCTCTTTTAAAAACACACTATAGTTAATACAGCTCAGTCGTTAAGCGTCTGCCTTCGGCTCAGGTCATGATCCCAGGGTCCTGAGATCGAGCCCCACATCGGGCTCCCTGCACCGTGGGGAAGCCTGCTTCTCCCTCTCCTACTCCCCCTGCTTGTGTTCCCTCTCTCGCTATGTCTCTCTCTGTCAAATAAATAAATAAAATCTTTAAAAAAAAAAAAACTAACCCAAATGTTTAAAAAAAAAAAAGTATTACCACCTATGGAAGAATGCTTGTTTCCCTGGCCAGGGCAGGCAGGGCAGGTCTGTATTCTGAGATTGAGAGCACACATTGTGGCTGGCTTGCTCACTGCTGGAAATGAAAGGTCACACAGAGAGCAGAAATATGGAGGAAATGAAATACACTCTCTTCAACTGGATAGCCCCTCACCCTGACGAGAACACTTAAGAAATGGTGAGAACACTCAGTCAGTATGAGTTCAAGGAAAAGACTAAAATCACAGGAAAGTTCTGAGAATGTAGGTCCAGATATTTTACACTTCCCTTTTTTCTCCAAAAAGCTGTAGCTTCTCAGCCAAAATACTGTGTCTGCTCCACACTTGCTTACTGTGCCCCAAGCTCCCATCCCTCACATTCCCAGAGTAAAACAGTCCTCTCTCATGAGAGCCCCCTTTGGGGGGGCTCTACCTCCTGCACCACACTCCTTCCTCCTGAGCTGTAACTCCCCCAGAACACGGACCTAAAAGACAGAAAACAGGCACTCACCAGCCATGCTGCTCTGGCTCTCTGCGCAGGAAAGGTAGTGAAAATGAAAGCAGCCTTCTCCCTTTGTTCTCAGTGGACTGGTGTGCTGGTGTTGCCTAAATGGGAAACTCCAGCCTTTCAAATTCTCTTGTCCATGCAGAGATAGAATTTGACTCTTCTGATATGTATCTTACTTCCTTTGGAAAACAGGAAGCATATCTGTCTTTTCTCTTTACTCTCACACAGTTTCTATGTTCTGTTTTGCAGTCTATTTTGACACAGTTAAGGAGTCAAACGGATCCTCATTCATCTCTGTGCCATCCCTTAGCCACTAAATGGCAGAGAGGCCTCACCATGGATGCCCACTCAGCCCCCGAAGTGAGGTGTGAGTTTGCAAGGCTTAAGGGGAGCAGGAAACTCACTGGAGCCCGACAAACAGTGCTGCTCCTGACACTGTTTTTAAAAACCCAGGTAAGTGATCTCTTTCCTTCTCTCTTTCCTCATCTGTGTACTTGTCAGTCCTGGTAAAATGTGCATATTTTGGTTTATTGACTCTTTTACTCAAGATGAGTTTTTTAAACAATAGATGTTTGCTATCAACATTAAACAATTTAATTTTTATGAAATAGAGTAAGATCATCTGCCTTCTTTAATCTCACACCACAAACTAACCACAATTATATGCTTAGCTTACATCAGTGAGAATTTTTGTCCTGTGCTTTTAAAAAGCACTCAGTGTAGTACTGATGTTATTGATGGCCCCCGTCAGGAGTCTCTTTGTATCCTTTGGTCTGACTATAAACTCACCTCTGACTTGGTTTTGCCATTGTGACACAGTAAATGGACCCTGTGCAGCTCTTTGCCAGGTCAGGAGATATGTGGTTCATTTCTCAATCTTGGACACCTGATGGTCCATGTGAACAAGCCCAGGCTAGATTGCTAGAGAATCAGAGAAATCACATGGAGATGCCTACCCTGTGTGCGGGTGATCTCAGACACATGGATAACCCCAGAGACAAAAAGAACCACAGGGCTGACTGATCACCTTGTGAACAATAGTAAAGGCTCATTTTTTTAAGTCACTGTGTTTTAGGGCAGTTTCTCACCAATAGAGAAACACATACTTACTGATAACTTTTTTCCCATATCATCAACAATTTGCTTTTTATAATTTCCCAATGTATGACAGACATTTGTAAGAATCAATACCTTAGGAACTATCTCATTTTTTTGATGACCATATGGTATTAACAGTGTTGATAGATTTTAAGTTTTAAATGTTATATCAAAGTAATGTATGCAGCAGGCATCTAATTCAGTTGTACAGAAAAGTGTGTAATAAAAACCATATTCTGCAGTACAACTCTCCCATCTTCAGTCCCACATTCTACATATAATTTCCCTAAATTATTCATTTTTATTTTCTTGTGCTAATTTTCAGATCTCTCAATAACATGCCTATTTTATCCCTCTATTTTTTGATATACCAAATACAATATTCTTGACTACCTCTTAAGAAAAATAAGATGTAGTTCACTTACACTGCCCTACTCCCTATGCTGCCTAATATTTAAAGATATAATGATTTTCAATTCTTTTCTCGATTAATTTTTAAATATTAAATAATATATTTAAACAGTTGCAAAATACACAAATAAGGAAATAATACCAAAAGCAGTAAAGGAAAAAAAATCCTTAACCTACAAAGGAAGACAAATAAGGTTGACAGTAGATCTATCCAAAGAAACTTGGCAGGCCAGAAGAAAGTGGCATGATGTATTCAGTGTGCTGAATGGGAAAATATGCAGCCAAGAAAACTCTATCCAGCAAGGCTGTCATTCAGAATAGTAGGAGAGATAAAGGGTTTCCCAGACAAACAAAAACTAAAGGCATTCATGACCATTTAAACAGCCCTGCAAGAAATATTAAAGGGGACTCATTGAGTGGGAAAGACCAAAAGCAACAAAGACTAGAAAGAATCAGAGAAAATCTCCAGAAACACCAAATTTTTAGGTAATACAATGGCACTAAATTCATATCTATCAGTAATCACTCTGAATGGGGATACCTGGGTGGTTCAGTAGGCTAAGTGTCTGTCTCTTGGTTTTGGCTCAGGTCAGGGTCACGGGATTGAGCCCTTTGTTGAGGTCTGTGATCAGCACAGAGTCTGCTTGAGATTCTGCCTCTCCCCCTACCCCTCCCACGCTCAAATAAATAATTAAATCTTAAGAAATAATCACTCTGAATGTAAATGGACTAAATGCTCCAATAGAAAGACATTCGGGGGGCGCCTGGGTGGCTCAGTTGGTTAAGCGACTGCCTTCAGCTCGGGTCATGATCCTGGAGTCCTGGGATCGAGTCCCGCATCGGGGTCCCTGCTCGGCAGGGAGTCTGCTTCTCCCTCTCCCACTCCCCGTTTGTGTTCCCTCTCTTGCTGTGTCTTTCTCTGTCAAATAAATAAATAAGATCTTTAGAAAGAAAGAAAGAAAGAAAGAAAGAAAGAAAGAAAGAAAGAAAGAAAGAAAGAAAGAAAGAAAGAAAGAAAGAAAGAAAGAAAGAAAGAAAGAAATTCGGTATCCAAATGGATTAAAAAAAAAAAAAAAGAAAGAAAGAGAAACAAGACCCATCTATATGCTGCGTGTAAGAGACTCATTGCAGATTGAAAGTGAGGGTGTGGAGAACCATCTGTCATGGTAATGGATGTCAAAAGAAAGCTAAAGTAGCCATATGTATAACAGACAAGCTAGATTTTAAACCAAAGACTATAATAAGAGATGAAGAAGGGCACTGTATCATCATTAAGGGGTCTATCCAACAAGAAAATCTGACAATTGTAAATATTTATGCTCCCAACTTGGGAGCACCGAAATATATAAATCAATTAATAGCAAACATAAAGGAACTCATTGATAATAATACAGTAATAGTAGGGGACTTTAACACCCCCATTTACGGCATTAGATAGATCATCTAAGCAGAAAATCAACAAGGAAATGACACACGGGACCATGTATTTCCTGTAAATGACCACAACAATGAATGACACACTGGACCATGTGGACTTAACCAATATATACAGAACATTTCATCCTAAAGCAGCAGAATAACCATTCTTTTCAAGTGCACATGGAACATTCTCCAGAATAGGTCACATACTACATCACAAATCAGGCCTCAACAAGTACAAAAAGATTGAGATCACACCAAGATTGAGAGCACAGTGCTATGAAACTTGAAGTCAACCACAAGAAAAATTTTGGAAAGATCTCAAATGCATGGAGGTTAAAGAACATATTACTAAAGAATGAATGGGTTAACCAGTAAATTAAAGAAGAAATAAAAAAAATACATGGAAGCAAATGAAAACATGACAGTCCAAAACCTTTGGGATGCAGGAAAGGCAGTCATAAGAGGGAAGGGTAGAGCAATACAGGCCTTCCTCAAGAAACAAGAAAAGTCTCAAATACACAACCTAACCTTATACCTAAAAGACCTGGGAAAAGAACAGCAAATAAAGCCTAACACCAGCAGAAGAAGGGGAATAATTAAAATCAAAGCAGAAATAAATAATATAGAAAAACAACAACAAAAACATAGAAGACATCAACAAAATTAAGAGTTCATCCTTTGAAAGAATTAACAAAATTGATAAACCCCTAGGCATACTTATCAAAAAGAAAAGAGAAAGCACCCAAATAAATAAAATCACAAGTGAAAGAGGAGACATCACAACGAATACCACAGATACATGAACAATTATAAGAGAATATTATGAAAATTTATATGCCAACAATTGGGGCAGTCTGGGAGAAATGGATACATTCCTAGAAGCTGAATCAGGAAGAAATAGAAAATTTGAGCATACCCATAAGCAGCAAAGAAATTGAATCAGTAATCAAAAATCTCCCAAAAAACAAAAGTCCAGGGCCAGATGGCTTCCCAGGGGAATTCTACCAGATATTTAAAGAAGAATTAATACCTATTCTTCTGAAACCGTTCCAAAACATAGAAATGGAAGGAAAACTTACAAATTCATTCTACAAGGCCAAAATTACCTTGATTCCAAAACCAAAGACACCACTAAAAAGGAGAATTATAGACCAAAATCCCTGATGAACATGGATGCAAAAATTCTCAACAAGATACTAGCAAATCAAATCCAACATAATATTGAAAGCATTCTTCACAATCAAGTGGGATTGATTTCTGGGCTGCAGGGGTGGTTTAATATTCGTAAATCAATCGATGTGATACACCATATTGATGAAAGAAAGGATAAGAACCATATAATACTATCAATAGAGGCAGAAAAAGCATTTGACAAAGTACAGCATCCATTCTTGATAAAAACCCTCAACACAGTTGGGTTAGAAGGAACATACCTTAATATAATAAAGGCCATATGAAAAACCCACAGGTAATATCATCCTCAATGGGGAAAAGCTGAGATATTTTCCTCTATGGTCAGGAGCAAGACAGGTATGTCCACCTTCATGACTGTTATTTAACATGTTACTGGAAGTCCTAGCCTCAGAAATTAGACAAAAAAAGGAAATGAAAGGCATCCAAATCAGCAAGGAAGAAACCAAACTTTCACCCTTAAGAGACAACTTGATACTCTGTAGAAAACATGGAAGATTCCATCAAAAAATTACTAGCACTGATACATGAATTCAGCAAAGTCACAGGATATAAGATCAACATACAGAAATCTGTTCATTTCTATACATCAATAAGGGAGCATCAGAAAGAGAAATCAAGGAATCAATCCCATTTAAAATTGCACCAAAATAATAAACCTAATCAAAGAGGTAATCGATTTGTACTCTGAAAACTATGGAACACTTATGAGATATATTGAAGAGGACATAATGAAATGGAAAGATATTCCATACTCATGGATTGGAAGAATAAATATTGTTAAACTGTCTATACTCCCCAAAGCAATATACACATTTAATGCAATCCCTATCAAAATACCACCAGCATTTTTCACAGAACTAGACCAAACAATCCCATAATTTGTATGGAATCACAAAAAAATCCCGAATAGCCAAAGCAGTTTTGAAAAGGAAAAGCAAAGCTGGAGGCATCACAATTCCAGGCCTTAAGCTATATTACAAATCTGTAGTCATCAAGACAGTATAGTACTGGCAGAAAAACAGACATATAGATCAATGGAATAGAATAGAAAGCCCAGAAATGGACTTTGTATTTCTGTATACACAGGGAACTGTATGGTCAACTAATCTTTGACAAAGCAGGAAAGAATATCCAATGGAAAGAAGACAGTCTCTTCAACAAATGGTGGTGGGAAAACTGGGCAGGAACAAGCAAAAGAATGAAACTGGACCACTTTCTTACACCATACACAAAAATAAATTTAAAATTTATTTCCTGTGAGATAAGAAACCATCAAAATCCTGGAGGAGAAGACAGGCAGCAACCTCTGTGACATCAGCTGTAGCAAC